TGGTTTCTAAGCAGTGCCTCCTGATTTATCGTCAGTGCCTAAACTAAATCAGACAGGACACTACAGTGGTGTTTACAAAGGCTGACAACTCATAAAATTGAGCCTTAAACAAACAGAAATTAGCAGGTTACAGTGGACAAGCTTAAATTAACACTGGTATTTAAGCTGTAAACTTGAACTTGAGTGTCCAGAACACAGATGCACTTCACGCCATGTCCCACAACCATCTTTTAAAGTTATGCCAGTAACTGCGATATAATAGACATAATCTAATACGTTACTGTCCTAAAGAGACAACACATGAAACGAATTATGCTAGATAACAAAAAGAAATGAACTCCAAATTTTTAAAAGACCACTACATGTTAGTTGGGGGTTTTTTGTGGTAAAATTGATTAGTTATAAAATCATCAGAGACTTTGTGGTACAACTTGTGTCCATGTCAGAAATTATTATGTTTAATATTGTACTTTAAATTTTTATCGCATGGAACATATTCCTGTCATTTTAACCAAATTAGCATAAACATATTGACACACTGAATTGTTATATCAGCATAAAGAAAGCCGTAATCATCCTGGCCTCTTATAGCTCAATCTGGTCAATAAAAGCCATTCAAAGTTTGCCTGTAGTTTTTAAAGTGCTTAAATAATTCAAGTCAAAGCTTGGTGTTGTTAAAGCTATGTTATTGTTTAGATTTAGCTTTAGGATCTTTGGTTTTCTGAGTTTGAATAGCAAACTGCCAGCTGTCCGAGTTAAAAAGGACTGCTGTTTGGGAAAACTAAGATAAATATAATAAATAATTAATGAAATTATCTTTAATGTGGAATCTGGAATTACTGATAGAGCCTTGTTTCAATTCTTCAAACCTGTCCAACAAACCAGTAGTTTATTCCCAGTGTGATAAAATAGACAGCGTATTGGTGAAACTGCCTGCTATTTATAATGTTAAGAGATAAATAAACATCCACAGTTGTTAAGGAGGTAGCCAGCAGTGGAAGAGAAATCACAGGAGAGGCTCATGTGAACAAATAATAAAATAAAATAAAATATCAATAAAGAAAAAAATCAGTCATTGATGGTTTTACTATTTATTTAGTTTGCTGTAACCCATCTCATGGCAAGTTGTTGGTGCTTGTACCATGGGCACCATCTCTGCACCAGAACCATATTGATGGGAAAGGGGCAACTGGAGTCTTTGTAGGACAGGCTTTGGGTGAAAACTGAAGCAAATAGTGTGTGAGTGTGTGTGTGTGTGTGTGTGGGGGGGGGGGGGGGGGGTGTCTTCGATGTCACAGGATACACAGACAGCTGATTGTTGCTAAGTGTGGCTAACTAAACATCTTACCTTCTACAGGATGATTTCTGTAGGTTTTGCTAAATGGATCACCTCTATTACTTTTACTGGGTATTTTTTTGGAATAAGAAAGGTCTTGTTTATATTTAGGTCCACATTTAACAACAGGAAGAGAAACTGGATCTGCATGCATCTTAAAAAAGCCATCAGGCAGACAAAACAGCTACAGGATGGTAACTAATTTGAATAAAATTTGACTATATCACAAATGAAAACACCATGGATGTGTCACTGTTTGGGTATTTATGACTTTACTGAATTTACAAAAAGCTTAAAAATTGCCTGTAACTCAACTAGCTATAGAGCTGTAATGGGCTTTTTACAGCTTATAGTCTTTGTCTTTTAACATCCTCACTGTGAAATGATAACAGCAAAGCAGACCAACTCTTGACATACGGTGGTCTTAAAAGCAGGCAAACTATTGGAAGTATAACTTAAAGTCAACACACATAATTCAGTTGCTGGCCATCTGATCACTTTATATTTGTACACTTTTAACTATTGAGAAATAAAAGATTTAACCCAGGGGTATCAAACATATGGCCCACAGACCAGAAAACCGACTAAAAAAAAGAAAAGAAAAGCCCAATCCAGCCAAACAGGATGACTTTGAAAACTACAGAAACCATGCACACCCGCCTTGTCTGCATTACACTGTATTTACTCTAGGGAGCGTGGTGGAGAATGGAAAGGAAGTCGTGAAGAATGGTGTCGTGTTATGAAAGTGGTTGTTTATCCAAGCCGGAGGTTTGAATCACGATCACTTACAACACTTTCTTACTGACAAATTCATTTCCCATTTCCTGTTATACCACACCAAAGTAAGGTGGCTAAAGTAAGGAGTGACTTGTAGTTACTGTAGAAACGTTTGTTTTGTTTTTGTAATGACAGCAGACTGACCAAATGTGGAAAAACTGACACATTTTGTTAAAACTAAACTTTTTTTTTCTTAAGACAGGTCAGGCTATTCATCATCTACTGTGGTTCAGTTTTCAGAATATACATGTCCTTGTAAGGGTAAAATTTCAGTTTGTTTTCATTGGTTATGAAATTGTTTCACTGTAAGTTGCTGCTGCAGTTTGCTGTTGAGAGGTCTCACTGCTGCAGTTTCTTTTTACACTTTATCTACAAATGCATCGGAAGTAATTTTACACTAAAGATTAAAAGGTGTAATGGCAAAAATCATACTTTGACACTCAGTCCAATGGAAATCAATTTGTTATTTCAACTTTCAATTTTATGTTCCACCCTTTCCCATCTAAGATACCATAAAATATTGATTATCCTGGGATATCATAGCACTTAATTTCTCACTTATCCTTTCAATTTTATATTTTCACTTTTATTTCTAATTATGGTTGATAGGAAATATGTACTTTATGTGTAGTGTTAGCTTTAGGCAGAGTGTTTTCTCCCCAGAGGGGAAACTCTGGAGGTGTCTTGTTCATGGCCTGTACTGGGGGTAAAGGGCGAAAAAAGAAGAATGTCAAAAGTGGAAAACTACAAATCACTACCAAGGAACAAGTTGTGCAGATTTTTGTAGAATATGAAAGTGGTGGAAAGTGATTCTCAAATTACTAAATTCTCTTATATACATGTTTCTCAATTATTTGAGCTGAACGAGAAATGTGCAGCTCAAAAAGCACTTCTGCATGGAAACCCTAAAGACTGCTTGACAAAACAGCAACATTAATAACAAATAACAGTAAATAACAGTTTTAATTATTTTGGGGACAAAAGGTAGTGATGAGAGTGCTTGTTTTAACATACAACCCACAGTGCAACCAAACCCAGTGTCATCAGGTATTTTAGGTCTTTTAACATCAGACACCAGTACCCAGGCAACCTAGCCACGGGTGATCAGTCTCCAGCTTGTGTCTAGGTGGCTTAAGTCATCTGCAGATCTCCCCTTTTGGTCCACTGCCATCTTGATGTCTTCTCGGGTGCATTAATGATGTTCAGTCCCTTGATCCTGAGCAATTTCATGGGCTAGTACAGTGAGGTACAATGGGTCTTCCATGCCTTGCTTCACCTGTAAGCTTCTTCTACTTGGCAAGAAGCCTCTTCCATCTGGTCTTCTCAGGAAATGGTCAATTCTAGTAGGACCACCAACTGCCTCAGTGAGTCTGATATTAGCACCATATTAGGTCTGAGGTTTGTCAAGTCTATGGTGTCTCCCCAGGTCAACTTTCTGCCAGTCTCAGGTTGCTGCAAAAATACCCACTGCTGGGTCCATGTGCTGTCGTGACTTCTCTCTAGCATTGACAAAAGCAATAGAGCACTTTTGGTTTGCATTGTGTACACACAGACCTTGCCGTTGCACACTAACCATACTGCTGGAGCAGGTTTCCACCACCCCTGCTCTGATCTCTTACTTGCCCAACTGGCTGCTTCCCTTCCCCTTTTTCATATTGAGGTCTTGAGGTACTGCCAAGACCTGGCTGACCTACTGAAACTACAGCCCAGGTCTTTTGTCTGATCAACAGAATACTATCCTATGACAAAAGTAACCCTCAGGGTTTGTTTTTTTTTTTTGGTCAGTTAGAAATCTCACACTGAACACATCTCAGCATTAGTAATGTGCACTGTATTGTTGCACACAGACAGGCCTACTCTTTGTACTACAGATAATTTGACAGGATTTGTAACCTTAAATCAATCCGATCATGTGCAATTTCACCAATATGTCTTTTACTGTCATAACAAAGAGTACTATCATCTTAACTATCTAACCTAAAGACACACATCAGCGTCAATTTTGAGTGTGGTATAGGTTTTAAAAGAAGAAAGCTGTAAAAGTGACCTTTATTAAAATTCTGCCTCAGATTAAATTTATGACAAAACTCTCATTACTAGACATTACTTGCACCACAGTGCTTCCTGGTGCAAATTAAATGCAAAGTCTAGCCTCAGTTTTTACACGTTGCAAAGGTGTGTTGTGTTGTGTTTTGTTGTGTTTAGTTGTGCTTGGTGTCGACGTGGGACAGTTTCCAATTTCGTTGTACTATTGTACTAGGTATGACTGTGCAATGACAATAAAGGGTTATCTTATCTTATCTCATCTCATCTTAGTCGATCATACTGGAACATTTAGCAGGCCAGTCCTGGCTTGCTCGCCTGCATTAATCCAAACCTACTGATTTCAGATGGATTAATTATGAAACGAGCTTAACTAGGTTTCATATAATCCAAGTTCACACTACGTAATCTATTACACTGCTGGGTATCTGTGATTAATAGCTCTTAAATGACCTATAATGTATTTATAAATTATTATCAATCACCAATAAAGCACTATAAATGATGCCTCGTGAGAAAGTACCACTTTTACTGAGGCAAAGGTGATCAAAGAAAAACAAACCCGTTCAACTAAAATCCACCTCTCCTCTAAAATATGACTTCAAAGCTGCCCTCTTTGAAGGTTCCACATTTATTTGACTGCGGTTTCAACTATTTGAATCCTTCTTTGACAATCAAATATTATGCACAGACGAGAAGGAACACGGCGTTTGTTTGAAGTCAGGCACTTCTAAAAAAGAAAGAAGCCAAATGTTGCCTGTAAGCAGGTCTGAATTGATTTTTGTGTCATTTTAATCAACGCCGACACCCCCGGCAGAGTCTCACACTTAGTACGGACCTGTACGGTTCGCTCGTGCGCTGATGCTTCAGCGTTAACGGTTTATTTTAGCTTCAGTATTTTCCCCCACTCCCTTTACGTTTCTCCGCCACAGACTTTTTTGTTTTTATTCGGGAGTATGAGCTAGCCTTCCCGTCAGCTGAGTTTGGATATTAGTGTCCGTTTTCCCCCCCCTCGCCGCTTCTTCGCTCTCTTCACTGTATCTGATGCTTCTTGTTTCCTCCAGTAACCCATGTCTATGTGCATCCCGCCTCCCTGCGCTCTCAATATATGGTGCAAGTCAAAATGTCCAAATCGCCCGTAGACCCTCTGTCTGCCGTGGAAACCGGCTCCCAGTCGCACTATTTCCAGGTAAATCCACTCACTTTACTCCCATTTCTCTCGCATCTAACTCCATCTTCACCGAGAAAAGAGGAAAATGGTTAATTGGTGTGTCAGATGCTACTTGTTGTTCAATCTGAGGCGTCGCGTTTTGGCAGCGGGCTACTTTTTTCCGTTTTCCCTTTTTTTCACCTCCGCCTTTTCTGAAACTGCCGATTGATGCTTGAGCCGGTGAACGGTCATGTATCCTCATATTATGGCTATTAAACACAGATATACAGTTTAACACCTCCTTGGGTGTCGATGTATTTGCTGTTTTGATCTCAACTCGCAGATCAGGCCTTTGCATTGATGCTTTATTATTTATTTCAGTGCATTTTTACCCTCCGTGCTACGCTTCATCCACTCCAGTGCAGAGAAACCAGCACACACCAGTAACATTATGGGACTTTCATGCAGGATTTTATTGTTGCAAATGTGCAGGCCGTGACTCTGGACTCACCTGTAGCCTGAATCTGAAAGGCTTTCTCCTCAGTTTGATGGGGCTCTGCATTAATCAAACCACCATGTGAAGCCGAATAAAGGCAGCCCTGAAATATGTGTGATTCTGGCAGAGTTACTGCTTGCTTTGGTGCAAAGCAGCTATTTTGTACCTAATCACCATACATTTTGGATTTTGCAGTCCTTAAAAGCCAGCAGTAGATTTATTTTTTGTATGAATAATATAAATCTGCAAAATAATTAGTAACTAAAGCCCTGAAATAATTATAGTCAGCCTTGCTGCCAGTATTACTGCTAGAGAGTTGTTGCATCCCGTTATCTATCGCCATCCATCTACCCATTCCCCTTTTTATCTCTTCACCTGTGTGCATCTCTTTCTTCCTCACAGCTGCCCAGGAAGTTGCCTAAGCGCAAGAGCCGCTTCAAACGCTCAGATGGCAGCACATCCTCCGACACTACGTCCAGCTTCATCAAACGACAGGTAAAAGCTCCTTTTGTGCCTGGATTGTCTCACTGCAGGCCACTCATTGCACACTGATTGTTAGTGGGTGGGAAAAGGTGTAGGTTCTGTGGAAAATATAGGTCATGGTGTGTTCTAAATGTTGGAATAAAGCTATAAGGTGCTTGAAATTTGTCATCAGAGCCAATGTCTCTGAAGTGTCTGGTTGGCAGTAATGCAACTTGCATATATTTTTTTTTTTTTTAGGTATAGGCTGTTGTTGCTGTTGGTGGAGGTGGGGATGGGGGTGTTAAAATACCTGCATGATTCTCTACTTATTTTGTTCGTATCAGTGTGACAGTTTCTGCTCTGCATCTTCATCCACAGCGCTTTTTCCTCAGTTGCAGAGGTTGCTTTGCCCAGTAGAGGGTAGCAAAATGCTTGACAAAAAGTCCAACCAAAATCCCAACACAGCACAGTATTTTTTTTAATTAATGTTTTCAGGTCAGACATGTGTGGAAGACTCAGATGGAGTTTTAGTGTTATTTAAGAAAATAGGTATCTGTAATTGGAAACAAAAGGATTCTCCATGTGATGTTGCTGCATAGCTATTTTGAATGGATTGTAGAAATGGGCAAGGGGTAGGAAAGATTTTCTCAGATGATCATATTGACTTTAAGTGAAAGGCCATATATTGAACAGCTGAACTGGAATATGAATTATTTCAAACTGTGTTAATCTGATAGATGGTGTTTCAGAAACCGAGAAATTAGTTAAAAAATATATAAATCAAAAAAAATGTGTCAATACAATGTACTGACATGAATATATATGTATACTGATGACATGACTTTAATGAAATTTTAATATTTTTACTTTAGAAAAATAAACATGTTACAGTTTGTGAACAAATCGTCTTAAATATGAAGTCATTGTAATGTATTGGGTCATTTAGCGTAATAGATCACTTGAGATAGTTGCCACTCAGCAAAACTATCAAATTTGGCAGATATGAGAAAACCAGATGTTTAGCTTGTATCTGCAATGTGCTGGAGTTAATCATAGAAAAGTGTTTTTGCAAAAAAATAGTGGAGCACCCTCTTTTGAAATCAAATTAAAAAGCTTCTTACAGTAAAGTTGTATATCGTTAAGGTGCTCTGTTGTTCAGTTTTGTGGAACATTGAGGGTTGGAATCACATGGACCATGTGTCGGCTCTTCCCATGTATTTTCAAGTCAGTTGTCATGTGCCGTTTTGGAATTTGGATTTAAGCTGCATTAACAGAAACAAAAAACCCAATTCCAGAAATGTTGGGATGGTATCTAAAATGTAAATGACACAGAATGCAATCATTTGCAAAACTCATAAAACCCACATTTATTTACAATAAACAAAGTGTAACGAAACAAATCAAATGTGTAAAACTGAGAAAATGTAGCATTTTGAGAAAAATACTATCTCGCTTTGAAATTGGCGACAGCGAGACCTGTCAAAGTTGGGACAGGGCCATGTTTACCACAGCATCCCCTCTTCCTTTAACTGTCTGTAAAGATCTTGGAACGGAGAAGTCCAGTTGTTGGACCTTTGGGAGGGAAGTTTTGACCCATTTTTGTCTGATAGAGGATCCTAGCTGCTCTACCATACTGGTTTATCTTTATTGTATTCTTTGGTTCATGATGTGCTAAATGCTTTAAGCATTGTCTTGCCGAGTCTTAAAAAAAAAAAAAATTCTGGATGATAGCATATGATTAAAAAAAACAAAAAGCAAAAACAAATAATAAAATAAATTAAAATTTTGATTTATTATAGCCAAACAGTTTTCCACTTTGTTTCAGTCCTTTTTAAGCTTTTTGAGCCATTTTTGCATCTCTGTATGATCACACTTTAACTTGTATTTGTGGATAGTATAGAGAACTGTGTTCAAACAGCGATTTCTGGAAGTGTTCAGGACTGAATATCACAGGGTCTCACTATTGATTTTCAGCGATGTCCCTTGCACACAGAGATTTCTCCAAAAATCTGTTACTTTTGATATTATAGATGATGATATACTCAAAGTCTTGGAAATTTCACATTGAAGAACATGTTTCACTTTTTTTTTTTTGCATATTGGTGAAACTCTGCCTCTCTAACATACTTTTTATACCCAGTCATATTACTGATGTATTTGTGGTTAAACCTGATTAGTTGCAAAATGTTTCTCCAGCCATTTCTTTTAGTACCATTTACTTTTTTTTTTTTTTTAACATTTTGCTGCCTCCACCCCAATGTTTTTAAGACATGTCGCTGCAATTAAATTCAAAAGGAGCTAATAATTTTTCTTAAAATATTTCCGTTTTCTATCTTCAATCGTGAATAAGGATTTATGAGAGTTGCAAATCATTGTATTCTGTTTTTGTATACATTTACATGGCATTCTGCCATTTTTGGAATTGGGGCTTTAGTGGGACTTTAAGTAAGCACTTCCCATTTTTGAAATATGAGGATTTACAGTTTATCATCTGCTACCTCTCCCAACTTTCCTTATCTGGGACAAGAGTGGAGTTATTATTTTAGGAGAAGTAGAAATACTCTGTTAACAGTAAAAGCCATGTGCTCATAATCTTATTTACTGTGACCATAAATATATCAGTAACAGCACACTTAAAATACCAAAGGCTTGCGCTTCACAATAATTCACCTTAGTGCACTTTGCTTAATACACCCATAGATGTATTTATTATCAGTGATGGTTGTTTGTAGATTATATTTCAATTTAACTGCCATTCCTGACGTCCCCTCCCTAAAGAATAAAAATAAACCATCACAACCAACAACCAACGCACCCTTATCAGAAATATTGCAAAGACAGAAAAAAATCCTGAAAAAAAATTTGAGAGGGAATTTTGAAAGATGGTCTCAATAGAGCCAAACAGCAGCTGAAACAGGAAACATATGAACCAGCCATGCCTTTGCACTCATGCAGCAGAGATAGAGGTACACAGCAGTTTCACTAGTGTTGCGGCTTATCTAAAACTTGTTAGTAAAGATGTAAGAAAGTGTACTTATTTTGCCAGCTTACCGCATCCATTGTCGTGGTCCAACTCGTAAGCTGTGACAAATAGGAGGACAGTTTCAAAAGTGCACAACTGTATTAATTAAAACAGACCGGCACCATACTTGGCAATATGAGGTGTGTTAGTCAGTATTATCAGTGTGTCAGCAGTGGGATGAGTGTTTGAATGATGAGTGGAAGGTGTTGTTTAGTATAAACTCCGAGCTAACAGGGCTAAAGCAGACCAAATAAGAAGCAAATGTTGTAAATGTTTCAGGGAGACCAGCCAGGTGCTCCCACTTACACTGATTAACTCCGCCTACAAGGGACCTTTAAAAGGGAAACATAGCAGGCCTGGAAAAAGTCAGGTAAACTGAGGTAAAATAAACAAATAGATAGATAAAAAAGGCTTTTTAAACATTATTGTTTATTAAGTTTTTAACAGTTTATTTTATTAGATTTGAGTGGCAACTTTATATTTTAGGTTTTTCTGTCCTGATGAATATTAAAGTTACTTGTCTCTTTATGATTTTGTCAATTACAATTTTCTTTTGAAAAACTATAATTGACAGCCTTTACAAAAAAAAAATCAGTTCAAAATGTAATTTTAATAACAAAATATATTATTAAACTTTACAAATCTCCGCCTACCCCCAGTACACTAAGTTAACTAATTGAAAATAAAGACCTTTGCTTCTTGGAAAGAGGCATAAATAATTAACTGAAGATAAGACGATATACATTCACCTTTATCTGACATATTTTACTTTACCAAACAAAAGAAGGTGCAACATATTTCTTTAACAAAGCAATTGTCAGGCGCTTACATTGTTTTCATTACATCATTTTGCTTGTCTCCATAATTTTCCTCATTACTGCTTTGATCCTGTGACTGCTCATACTGAGGCTGCTGCACTTTTAGAACAGATGTATTAAAAACATTTTCACACATTGTGTTACATTTTCACACAGTTGCTGCATTTTTGTTGTTGTCTGTTTGTTTTTGCGCCTGGATCTGAGCTCTGGGTAGCTTACTTTCCCCTTTGTTAGCTTCTTTAAATGTCCATGCTCGGCTGGGTGAAGGTGATTTCAGTGTAGAAATGTTTTTGTGGCGGTTCCCCCACAGTTTACTGTGACTGTGAGTGTGCAAGCGATTATTTGCTCACACCACTGTCCATAGACAAAAATGTTTGTGTCATATGTGAGACTGAGAACATTGAAAATCAGATGATTCTGATTCCTGGCTGATCAATTTTTACTCTGACTCCTTGCACTTTGAGAAAACATTTAACAAAAATAACCTTGAAAAGTCAGTTGGTCAGATAATCTCTCAAAGTAAAGCTGAAGCTATTACACTAATAATAAGCAGTAGTATCCTTAACCGATTGACTTAGTTTTAATGAAAGGTGCCAAATTTTAGTGTTTTAAACCCTTTGTGTTGTATTACATTATAGCAACTTCCATCACTTTAGGGTTTTCTGCACTGTTTTGTGAGTGTTTTATAGACCAGATGACACCAGACACCCTTATATCCACAGTCTTGTTCTTTTGGTCACTACCCACAGCCCACAGATGTAGATGACTGTACAAACTTTTGTTACCAGTGAATCGACAGCTTCGCCTTCACCCACAGCTTGTTTACTATCTTTTATGATACAAATAAGCAGCATCTTCTTAATTTGAGAAACTAGATGCAGCAAAAATTTGGTAAAGTAGTTGAAGCAGTTCATTATCCACTTCTTCATTAATCTCCACATTACATTTACTTAGAGGGTTTTAAGGGGTAAAGGCATCATGTTCCTTTCTTATAGGTGTGAATAATCTGCAAGCATAAGGGTCTGTAAAGTAAATAAATAAAATACCTCGATTTCATCCACAGAACAGGAATGAGGAACAGTGTAACTGAGAGGCGTGAGAAAAAGAAGAAGAAGAAGGGGGGAAAAAAGGGCTGAGCAGACATCTTCTTCAGAAGGGGACATTAGTTATCCGGATCGCGAGGCTTAATGACA